TCTGATGCTCGTTTTAAACTTCAGCAAGTCGCCTTCACCACATCTAGATGCAGAAATGCATTGAGTTGCTGCCACGTGATTGGCAGATTAGCAATTTGTGTCACCAAGCAATTGAACAGGTGTACCCAATAAAGTGGCTGGTGAGTGTATATCTTTTAATGCACATTCATAGCTGTAAAAGCCTCCCTTGTGTAAACATCAAATCTCAACAAGACTGCTACTGTGCCTGGGAAGGTGCACAGCTCTAGAAACGTAACATTGAATAAAAGGAAGAGGTCCATTTGTGGGGCAGTTGCAATGTTCTGAGTAGGGGCACAGGACATGAGGAGAAATTGAAGGGGATACAGTGACCTATCAGTCTAAAGCTGCCCATACACCTTGCGATCATCGGACAACACTTTTCGTCAAACCATCATACGATTTTCAATTATCGCAAGGTTGGAATAGGGTAATTAAAAGAAAGCACCTGGACGAATTGCGGTACTGTCTGCGCATGTGCAGTGTAAATCAAACGAATTTTGACGTATGGCACCACCAACCTTGCCAAAATCGTATGATCGACCAAAGTTTTCTAATTTGCTGGTTAGTCCAAAGTCTATCGATTGTACAGTATTTGCAGTTTTACACTGCCCATGAACCTTACGAATATCAGACGAAACCGCGATCGCATACGAAAATCAGCCAATATTCGTAAGGTGTATGGGCACCTTAAAGGGGGCACGCTGTGCACCCTAATGCTGAAGAGGCAAAGGACCGACTAAGATACACAATACCCACCCAACCCACATAAAGAGGTGGGGGCCTACCTTCATGCAGAAGGCATTATAGAGGGGTTGATTGACTGCAAGTCCTATGTGTTTAGGGCTGGTTCACACCTGGGCGTTTTACAGTGCGTTCCTACGCGCTGTAAAACGCTCAATATGTGAAAACCAATGATTGCCTATGGGCATGGTTCCCACCTGGGCGTTTTACAGCGCGTAGGAACGTGCTGCAAAACACCCTACGCCCAAAGAAGTACAGGAGCTTCTTTGGGGCGTATTTGCCGCGCATATCTATTAGGATACAGCCGGATAGCCCTTGGAAAACACGCATTTGTCACGCGTTTTTTTACCGCAAATCGCGGTCGAAACGCACGGCAAACGCTCATATTCGGTATGCCTAGGTGTGAACCCTGCCTAAGTGTAAGTTGGAACCTCTGGGCACCTAATGCAGAAGGGTGGGATTTCTCTGACCTTACACGTCATGACCCGCCTCCTGATTGGGTAGGAAGCATGGCTTCCTTACCAATCAGGAAGCTGAGACGCAAGTCATGACGTGCCACCCGGCTTCCTGATTGGCTAGAAAGCCAGCTCCACTTGTTGGTAAGCAGCCTGGCCTCCTAACCAATCAGGACATCATGATCTGCCTCCCTTGCTCCCTCTGCCTGAAAGTTCCAGTATCGGAGGTATCTAAACATTTGGGCGAGTACTCGCCCAAATACTCAGTATGGGTGCATCCCTAGGGACCAAGACTATTGGCCATGACAGGTGTAATTACAGGAAATAGGCCCTGACATATAGGCCCATACAATTGCAGCCTTTTACAGATTTATTCTCAGTATCTCATCCAGGATGACATTCTTCTTACCAGACATTATGAAAATAAATATTAATCTGACCCGTCTCACAGAATTCACAAACATCCGTTTTATGTAACATGTGGAACTGCATTTAAATACATCTTGGATATAGACGATATCCATCCTTCATGTAGAAAAGAGCATGTTTCTAGACAATTTCTAGGATTATATAAAAGAGACCCTGTCACCAGTTAAAAGCACAGAACACTTACTGTGTATTTACTTTTCATAAATGAGTTTTAATTCACTTGCAATGTGCTAAAGAAAAAGAATAAAAAACAGACTACTCAAGAAGAGTAAGTTCCCTAGTACAGCCCCCTTCCCTCCTTGCACATCATAGCCCTCTCCTCTAATGAGGGTGTCTAACTTTTGTCTGTGCTGACCCAGCTCTTCCACCCCACCCCTCACTACATAACCTTTTATGTAGCTGCCGGGGGAGGAGCAAAAGTGAATACTATAGATTGTTAATTGAGTGACAGCTCTGAGTCTGCCGATATCACATGCAAGATGGCGATGCGGCATCTCGGGCTGTTTGGATGTCTACACAACGGAGGCTTTTACAGGTAAATAACATCAACATACATTAAATATCATCTTATGGCAAGATTGTTGTAGAAATGAATGGTCTGGTGACAGGGTCTCCTTGTCCTATAGAAACCAATCAGAATTTACGTTCCCTTTCTCTGACTCAATGAGATTGAAATTGGAATTGTGTCCATTACTTAATTCTCACTGCCAAATAAAAGAAGCCTCTTTAGCTTTATTTTAACAATATGCTACAGAGCGCAACAATATGAGGAACGCCAAGCGCATAAGATGTGACCAGGACACATGTCAAGTCCTTCTGTACACATGCAGGTATCAGACCAGTGTGTATGTCTGAAATAAACAGCCCTGGTCTCCTTGCTTATCTTGAATGAAGATATCCAAACTGACTCAATGTTTTCTTTCTTTAGGTCAAAGCATTGGCGAATCTCCAGACCTTCGGGATTGGCAGAAACACTGAAAAATGCCCTGTGAAGATAGAACATTTGTGAACTTTCAATTAATAAGACAGCTGAAAACAAAATACAATAGAGGAATGAGGTCTTGTCTTCCCAGGAACTAAACCTGCAAACCAAGGGATCCAATAAAAATGTGTACATTGAAGTCAGGTGACTGGGATACAAAAAGGTATAGCATTCAATGATGACTAAAGCTGGCCATACACCTATAGATTATCTGCAGATTTTCTATGGTCAGATGGAAAAAGTGCAACAGATTCTTCCATCTACGCTAAACTGTGTGCATGGCGGAATCTCCCGCTGGGCCCAGCTTCAGTATCTTGCTAGTCGGCCCCGCTGGCTGTCAAAATACCTGAACAATCTGATTGGATGCAGGCATTGTTCAGGTATTTTGTGAGCCAGCGGGGCCGACTATCAAGATACTGAAGCTTGGCCCAGTGGGAGATTCCTCCATACACACAGTTTAGCGTAGATGGAGGAATCTGTTGCACTTTTTCCATCTGACCATAGAAAATCTGCAGATAATCTATAGGTGTATGGCCAGCTTAAGAGTCATTTGTTAAAGCTGAAGTCACATAGCGAGCACTCCAAGTGTAAGCCACTATTTTCACCAAGTTTTAAACTTATAATAATATAACAATAATCTTCTGTTACATGGTTCAGTATACTTAAAAAAGGGTCTAGTTATAAAGCCAAAATGACCCTGCGAATTTCTGTTAACGTTCGTTCTGTATAAATAGAGGCAAAAATAAATGTTCTGGAGCATACTTTTTCAGGTTAAATGTAATGTAATACCACATTATGGCCACTTGATGGAGCTGAGGAGCATAGCAATTAAGTATTCCTCTGCTCCATCTAGTGGCCATAATGCGGTATTACATTTAACCTATTCACACAGAACAAATGTTCACAGATTTGCAGGCGAATGAAATCAGCAAATTGTTTATAAATAGACCCCAAAATCAGTTTGTTATTCCATACTGGGAAATGATAAATGCAGAAGTTGCTAACATGCTAAACTAGCCTTGGGCAGAGTTGCGGATGCACTTTAAGGTTTAGTGGCCTTGTAAGACCATTTTAATGCTTTAATGACAGAGTTTGCATGTTAGGTTAAGGACTTTTTTCATCGATAGTAATGGTTACAAAAACGATTAACAATAATGCTTCTACAGGCCTTTGCTGCCCAGCAACATAACCTAGTAATATGTGGTAGTTCTGGGACTGCACAGTGCAAACACCTTTGAGACAGTTACAGCAAGATGGTTGAACCTATGGACAGAGCATGCCTGGTTTGCTAGAAACTCAGACTATGCAAATGGGACACCTATGCAATTAATTTCAGACCCTCCTGGAAGTGTGCGTGTTCATTCAACAATTTCTTACATCTTCAGACACTGCCATCAGGAGATTCCACTACACCGAGGTCGTTATAAAGCCTGAGAAGGTGCAGTGTGACTTCCTTGTAATGACTACAGAAAGTGGGAGCTCAGAGGCCAAGCACCACCACCAGAGTCTTCAATAAGTATAATAACCTGGTTGGAAATAAACCCACTTCTAGCTTCCCAAAAAATATATTTCAGGAGGACACTCCATGATCT